AGTTTTATTTTTCAGAAAATTTGTGCACTATAAAAAAGTACTCAAAATCACACTAGTACTCAAAATAAGTACAACATTCTAATTACCATTTTATTTGATGGATACTAGAAATCTTTTACTAAAAATATGTAATAAAATTAAATGGCATGTACCTAAGAATAGGAAATGATGCAGTCAAAACTATGGATATTTAATTAATTTTAATTTTATAGGCAAAGGCAATAATATGATTTTATTATTTACTGCTGTAGAGTAAATAATAAAATCATATTATTGCCTCTGCCTATAAAATTAAAATTAATTAAATTAATACCTAAGAATGTATATTAAAAGCAGTTAGTATTATTAACAACTTGACTAATTCAGTAAGTAATTAAGCTTAATGAATGATTCACTGAAAACATGTGCAATATCAACAATAATACTGAAGGAATATGTTAAAAAGGAGAATTGAATAAAAGTGGGTAACTGAGTTTTAAAGTACGCATGTACATATATACAAATTTATTTTACTTATTTCCATCTACTCATTTATCCATTATCTATCATTCAATCAATCAATCAATCTATCTATCTATTCATCTATCTATCTATCTACCTATCTGTACATTTAAGTATCTATATGCACATGCATTTCTCTCCAGGATATAAAGCTAGCAAATATTTTGGAATCGAAAATATTTCCAAGTTTAAAAGGCAATTAAGCGGAAAAGCTAGTAATACACTTGCATTTTAGCGTGATTGATAAACACTGACTCTTCCTGCCAACATCGTAGCCAAAAATAGCAAACAACAAATTTAAATATTCAAAATTTACAATAAATCGTAACTTTTATTCTAATTTATTTTTATACTTTACAAAATTTAAATAAAAACATTTTCGTTACATTTCAATATAGTTATTAAAAAATACGCATCAAAAAGTAGCTAAATTGAAATGGTAGCAAACGAAATCGGACTGCACTCTACAAAAAGTACGTTAAAAAATGGTAGTGCATGAGATTCTTAGTTGACATGAACACAAGTATTCGTTATAAAACACTAATTTTCAAAAATACTGTATACTGTAACCCTTCCTTACGAGTTATGAAAATACTGCATAACACTTTCTAGAGTATATTATGCATTACACTACTATTTAAGACACTGTAAGGTTCATTAAGAGAGCAATAAACAAAGTCAGCTAAAGTTTAAATGCTTAGCACATATTTTTTTACTATGCAAAAAATTTTAATGAACAAAATGACTGACATGCCATAGCTGCAAAATATATTAATGAGTGAGAAAAAAAACAAAGTAATAATATTACCTACTAATTATATTAATCGTATTGTTGAATAAGAAATAGATACAATAATGATAATTACAATAAGTACAGTATTAATTACAGTACAAATAATAATAAAAATTATAAAGCAAGCATTTGAAGAAGGAAAGGATATGAGAATAAGTATGAAAAGATACAACGTAAATACGATAAATATAAGAGTTTAAAGCTTATATTTACAATTTCTTGCAAAAAACATTTCTTTTTATAAATTTTAGCCACTTTCTTTAAAAAATAAAATTTTTTCACTTTCATAATAAAAGTATTAAATCTAAATTATTTGCAGAGAGTAGAAAGCATTCATATTTTCTGCAAATATTACTAACGATTTAATAAATAATAAAGCAGCCAAGTAAAATTACTAGTAATAACTTTAAAAGCCAGGTAATACACATAAATAGGCGTAAACAAGCATAGTAACAATAATAATAACAATAATGGTCATAATTATGATTATTGTTATTGATATTTTCACTATTACTTGAATAATAATAAGGTAAATATTGATTTGTGCAAAGAAAAGAAATAGTAAAAAGTGTTAAGTAAATAAATATAAAAGAGAAGAAGACTGCTAAGGAATATAAAAAAGATGATAACATTTGATAACAGAAATGTTATCCTGGCAATGATAAATGAAGTAAAAATTAAAAAATAATGCAAAATGAGAGAAGAAAGTTCTGTGCTCGCATCATTTTAGGCTTTTTAGGAGTGATAAAGCAAAAAATGCAAACGAGACAAAACTTTGAGGCCTTAAGTTTGCATCATTTCAGGCCCTATGAGTTGAGATAGTAAGCAAGTAACAAAAAATGAATTGATTTCAACAAAGTATTGTTAAAGTTGAAGTAAATGTGAGAGAAAACGAAAATGAGAAGATAGCAAGATTGATGGATAGATGGATAGAGGGATAGATAGATCAGTGGATAGATGGATAGATAGATCAATGGATAGAGGGATAGATAGATCAATGGATAAAGGGATAGGGGTTAAAGGAGTAAATTTAACAACAATTTATTGAATAAGTAAGTAAGTGATGGAATGATTAAATGAAAGGAAGAAGGAAAGTTTGAGTTTGCCTTGCCAAATGCCTGCCTGCCTGCCTGCCCGCCTGCCTGACTGCCTGCCTGCCTGCCTGCCTGACTGGCTGGCTGGCTGGATGGCTGGCTGGCTATCTTTGAGAAGCAACGCAAAACACGTAAGGGTAGTCTATCTCGAGAAATTGACTACGAGCAATAATCGATCACATTGAACGGTCGAGTGGACGATTCTTGCCAGAACAAGTGGGACTGAACAGCCGGAAGTGTAGAAATTTTAAAATTAAACAAAAAATGCAGTCTAAAGTGGGCAGATGAGCACAAACGGATTTAGACAGACAGAACAGATAGATAGATAGATAGATAGATAGATAGACAGATAGATAGATAGATAGACAGATAGATAGATAGATAGATAGATAGATAGATAGACGGATAGATATACGAATGGATGATTAATGCATTTAATACAAAATTTTGAAAACTGAAAATGAAAATAGCAAATGGAATAATTTTTGAAAAAATTTTGAACTCTAAGATAGTAATTATTGAAATAGCAATGAAAACTGTAATATGTGCAAAAAAGTATTTTGATAAAAATGACATAATATAGGTATTCGAATTCAGAATTCAATAATCAAAAACCTTTTATTTTGTTATGTAGAATTTAAAATTTTTTATCAATATATTATTTTATTATTATTATTATTGTTATTATTATTATTATTGTTATTATTAATGTGCAAGAAAAATGAATGAATATAAAGTATTTGGTAATTACATATGTTAACGAAAGTAATTTATTTGTGTTTCTGAAATTCATTTGTTCTTATCAAATAGAACACTGAATAAAAACTGTGAAATAATTGCAAGTAATGAAATAAAAGAATATTAATAAAATATTAATAATAAAATTAATATATGGTAATAATATTGGAAAATTGTTTTGTTAATATGAAATGTAAAGAATTAAGTAGTAAAATTAATGACAAAAATTGAGTAATTATGCAAAATTAATAATACGGTAAGAATAGCTCAGATCAATAGATATCAATGAAAAAATGAGAAATTTTGAAGAAAAAAAAACAAAAAAAATTAGCCATGCAAATTATGCAAATTTTTAGCAGTGATATTTCTATTTAATTAATGGAGAATGACTTTTTATAGAAGTAAACAATTTTTCAAACGAATATCGCACCAATTTTTGAAAATAATTGTTTTTTCTTGTACTGAAGTTTGATTACTGTTTTTATTCAGTACAGTACTC